TCAAAAAAAAAAAAAAAATTTTTTTTTAAATTGTGGAATAAATAAACAGGATGAAAGACATTAAATGTAAAATGTTTGAATTAAAATAGAAATTTCATTCACATTCTGTCAAGATGGTTACAAAATTATTTGGACTATTATTCAGAGCAACATTTTAGTTGTAAATTTGAAAATATGTATAATCGCAGTTTTATAGGTTTCAATCGCCAATCTAGTACTATTTAACTAAAAAATAGCAATAATAAATCTTCCAGTTAGCATAACATATTGAAAACATCCACTTTTCTCCCCTCCTTAAGAAGTCCCACTAAAACAAAGATGAAGGTTAAAAAAAAAAAAAAAAGAGGAGGGAGCATAAACCCTTAAGAACAAAAAGAACAGGAAAGGACACAAAAGAAAAAGGCCCACAAAAGTTTAGAAGCTGGTTGATGTGGGTTGAGTTGGAGCCTCCAAAATGATACGTTAAATGTGACCGTATTTGGAAATAGGGTCTGTGCGGATGTGATCAAAATATTGTAAGATGAGGTTATGCTGGATTAGGTAGGGCCCTAATATAGTGACTAGTGTCCTTACAAAAAGAGAAAAATTCGGACGAAGACACATACTCGGGAGATCGCCCTGTGGGGACAGAGGCAGGCACCGGAGAGATGCGTCCACTAGCCGAAGAGCACCAGAGATTTTCGGCAGAGGCACAGGTTCTCCCTCAGAGCCCCCGAAAGGAGCCACCTTCTGACGCCTCGATTTCCGATTTCTAGACTCTGTAACGGTTGAACAAAAAACTTCCATTGTTTTCTCCTTCTTTCCCACATAGGGTCTTGCTCTGTCACCCAGGTTGGCGTGCCGTTGCGTGATCAGAGCTCACTCAGCCTCGAATTCCTGGGCTCAAGCCATCCTCCCACCTCGGCCTCCCCGAGTAGCTGGGACTACAGGTGTGAGCCGCGCCCCGGCCTCATTTCCACTGTTTCAAACCACTCAGTCTGCGGTAATCGTTATGGCAGCTCCAGGAAATAATACACTGGGAATTTGGAAATAGGGTGTGTCCTATTTTATAGGGACTAGTGAAAACTAGAACAGGAAACAGACAAAACTGAAACCCAAGTGTTTCCAGAGGCGAGGCCTGGAAGCGAGCGGACACCGCAGAACCTGACGAAGGCTCAGGAACTGGAAAGAAGATACTCTCCCAGTGGGCGGAGCCTTCCCCGCCCCCGGCGG